TTCTTTCTTCCTCTACAACTAATATGGCCCTATTATCAATTTAGACTTTCCACATATTTGGCATCACATGCTTAAATCTTTTGGCATTTTCTTATACCTTGCATAATGCAGGGTATGGGACCATTTGTGAAAGGTGCAGATTTGGGTTTCCTTTATGTTGTACCTGAGCAAAGTTTTCTTGTGCTGTTCAACCGTTTGAAACTACCACATTGAGCATCAAATCGTTTTGAGATCTTACCTCCTTCATAGGACCTATATTATATATATATATATATATATATGAAGAGTGCAATACTGTTGAGGAATTCTTATCTGTTAAGGTGTTGGAGCAGAAAGGCAAAATATATATTAGGCACTTGTATTTATTTATTGATCTCGAGGTTTTGTTTTTTCTTTCTTTTTTTCCCCCCCCTTTTTTCCTTCCCAACTTTTTGCTAATTTTGAGAGCTGTATATCTTTTTTGCCGACTGACCATATATAATTTGACAAGTAATAAACTGCTATAGAATGGAGTGGACTTTCTTTGTGACAGTTTCTGGATATTGATTGCTTCCTTAATCCTTGATTTGTTTATTCTTTCAATTAGATGTGAACTTGCTTTTCTGATTGCATATCATCTTACTAACTTTTTCAAACCTTTACCACTGAGGAGGAAATATGGTTAGATATGACCCGGCTGATTTAAAGGACGTTTAGTTTATAAATTTAAAATTATAATTCAGAATTATTTTTAATTTATGTGTGTTTTTTATGAGAAAAATTATTGTAGTGAATTATGAATTATAATCCGAATTATAACACGAATTTTTGTTCTAAACGCAACCTTAGATATCTACAGTTAAAAAGTTAGTTTGATCGGTGGCATATGGAATTATTTATTGCCAACAATTTTTTTTTTTTTTTAGAATTTTATGGTAGGGTATATATTACTGGTACAACACAGTTACGAGGCTTATCAAGAAAGGACACGTTGAGGAATGTCTTGATTGAGCCGTGGCTATTTCATTAGGAGAGAAAAGCGTGTTACCTCATCCTCATCAAAGAGTTAATGGACTTAGAGCCGGTAGCTTATATTAGGGTCTGACAAATATATTTAAATTTATAATTTTGATTTTATTGTTTTTTTTTTTTTTTATAAAAAGTTGAAGTCAAAAATTTTCCATAGTTATTTCATAAAGTTTCTGTTAATAAATTAAAATCATTAACTTGAACACGAGAATCAAACAGATCTTTAGTTTCAGGCGTTTTTTATAGGACCTCTAAATCAAAATCTCTTGTATGCTAAATCAATTGAGAAAGACACAAGTTTCGTGTTGTATATGGGTTTAAAATAGAATTTAGATCAAGATTTTTTATTATGACTTTGGAAATTTAAATATTTTGTGAGAGAAAAATAATATTGTAGCATAATTAAAATCGTAGATTTGTACTATAACAATTTATATACAAAACATCACCTCATTGTTGTTGAAGGGAAATTAAGTTAATATTTAATCGTTCATTGCCAAGTTTATGAGAAAACCTCTGCCAAGGAAAGTAGTTTATGAAATCCTTTTTTTTTTTCTTTTTGACGAATGAATATCTTTCTTGTTGCTCAAAGCGAAAATGGCAAATTTGATGGTGGCTTCCTTCTGGGATTTAAGACGCATTCTTGTTAATCACTTCTTTGTACGGAAAAAAGGGGAGGGTATTATGTGTTTGATGCTTTTCTTGCTCCTTTAGGTATATACTATTTGGGAATTGAGGCTTAATAGGGTTGGAATATTGGGAGAGGACACGTGCCTTTCATGTATTGGTGGAATACTCTCCACTATGCCAAACAAACAAAAACATTTGTTTTTGTGCATGGAATGGAATGCTTATTTTAGACAATAGGAGGAATCAATTCAGCAAAAGAGAATGATAAAGTTGGGTGGAATATTTACCTTTAGCTCACAAAAGGATAGCGCACTCTTAAAGAAATCTACTTTAAGCTACCTCATAAAGTTCCCACTCAAAGCTTTGTTCTGATATTTTTCTTAACTTACCTCTTTTTTTTTTTTTTTTTTTTTTTTTTTTTTTTTTTTTTTTTTCCTTTCATTGCTATGTAGCTTAGGTCTTATTGTTACTCTTAGTGGCTAAGGCTGTTCTTTTGCCGTTTTTGAGTTATGTGACTTGAGTGTAGATTTTGAGTTGAGTTTAAGTTATAACTTGAGTTGAAGTTGTAATTTGAGTTTGTGTTTGGTTGTGTAAACTTAAGTTATAATTTGATATTAGAATTTATTTGAGTTTGTGTTTGTTTCAACTAATTCTTGAGTTGTGAATAGTATCTTGAAAATTTTTTTTTCTTTCATTTAATTGATTTTATGTAATTTAATTTGAATAAATAAAAGTGAATCATCTATAAGTAGTAATAAATTTAAAAATAACGTAGGCATTTTCTTCATTTAATAAATTAAAATACCATATAAAAAATTACTAGAATATAAGTTTTCATTATAAATGGAGAGCAAATAGTCACAATATATACATAATTAATATCGCAATTCACCATACATTATTATTAGCGCGTACGACGATTACGATACACTGCCCACATTGTATGCGCTCTTGCATCCCTTAACGCATTCATCTCCAATTCTGCATTATAATTCAATGGTTGTCCTTCGTGGTTGTTATTGCCATTGATATCCTCTTCAACATTCTGTGGATCAATGTCCGCAACCAGAACACCATCTTATGAGTACTGATCCAATAGTCTATCTTTGTTACGGTACAAGTGAATAAAGGGCTCGAAGGAAGAAAGCAAGCGACAGGCACGACAAAGGTGGAGGAATCTCAACTGTGTGCTCAGAAGGTCAAGAATCATCACTGTAGCAGTTCAGAGGACTTAACTCGAGTAGGTGGGAGGCCATTAACTCGAGAATGGGGGAAAAACTCGAGTGGTTATTTGAGTTTGGTCTCGAGTAAAATGAAGCCAAACTTAAACTTGGGCCAGCCTGTATCACTCGAGTGGACTTTCTCGAGTAAAAACAGGCAACCGAACATGGTAAGTATGCAATTTCCATTGTACCCACCTATTATTAATTTACATTTAATTAGATTATTAAGACATTGGCACTAAAATATTAACAATGCAAGTATTTTGGCTGCGATAGTTTTATTGCTAGAATTGCTTATAGAATTATTGTACGAGCAAAGTTTATCATGATTATGGTTATTATTGTTTTTGCTTAAAGATGAAGGATCATTTTAAAAAAAAAGGAAAAAAAATTGTGGTAATTCTAGACAAGTTAAGGGCCCGTTTAGTTTGCTGATTCGAGTTTTTAATTCGAGTTTAGATGTAATTTTATGTGAGAGCTTTTTACTGTAACAAAAAAAAAATTGATATGATTATTTCTAGAGCTTTTTACTGTAACAAAACTCGAATTCTAAACTTGAATCGGTAAATAAATGGAGCCTAAAAGTACTCCAAACAAACCTCGTTTGATCAGGTGCGTAGACTTGTCAAGTTATTTGTGTTATCTAATCAAGTTGAGGAAAAAAAAGATACAAAAATCTAATGGTTTTTTTTTTCGATTTATATGCATGTAGTCTTTTAACAGTTTTCTATTCTTTTTCGGAAATGTATCAAATCATTAAATTAATTAAATTTTATTTAAAAAACAGTAAAATTATGTATTTGTCTTAAAAAAACTAAGAACATTGATGTAATTAATTGGATTCGAACCCTTATTATCCAAAAAGAAAAAAAAATCAATACAATAAGTAATCTTTGAATAATGCTAGTCAAGGAACGCTTTCAACATTACATTTTGACCCCGACAGTTTTTACTATGGGTGGTAATTCGTGTTAGTGAGCTATGTTTTGTGTTAACTTATTTATTAATTGTGTCAGAAAATATCAACTCAAACACGACCTGTTTATTAAATGTGTCAAAAATGTCAACTCAAACACGATCCATTTATTAATCGTGTTAATTGTGTCAGCCCGTATAATCCGTTTAAATTAATGTATTAAATAAATAACTAATATAATAATGAGATATTTAACACGGTCAATACAGGTTTAACATGTTTATTGATCAATTCCGTGTTTGTGTCAACATGTTTATTAATCGTGTCAGAAAATATCAACTCAAACATGACTTGTTTATTAAACGTATCAAAAATGTCAACCCAAACACGATCTATTTATTAATCGTGTTAATTGTGTCAACCCGTATAATCCGTTTAAATTAATATATTAAATAAATAACTAATATAATAATGAGTTATTTAACACGGTCAATACAGGTTTAACATGTTTATTGATCAATTTATCTTTTCCTTTAAGAAAAATAAATGAATTTTACCTATAAATATTAAAATTCACATTATTTGTATTTAATATGTCATATAAACTTTTATACATATCATTAAATTACAGATGACACTTATAGTTAATCGTGTCACTTCGTGTTAGGAGGTCAACCATAACCCAACTCATTTATTAATCGTGTTAATCGTGTCAACCTGATTATGACCCAAACACATTTATAGTAAACTCAAACCCGTTAATTTCGTGTAGATTTTAAGTCGTGTCATCGTATCGCTACATGGATTGCCAATCTTAATTTTTACAACAAACGCCATTTCAATATTTCATTTTGACCCCGACAGTTTTTTCTCTTCTCTTTGGCCCTAAACAATACCTCAATTTGCAATTACAACCAAATATGGGTATTTTAATGGACGTTTGGTTTATAGATTCAGAACTATAATTCAGAATTATTCTCATTTTACGTGTATTTTTATAAGAAAAAAATATTATAAAGAACCATAAATCATGATGCAGAATCAGAGACGAATACAAGAAACAAACGTTTCCTCTCTTCATTCAAAGGACCCATATGATATGATATGGACGCCCCCTCGCGTCTCCAAACTATTATCAACTAATATCGCGCCACGACATCAACAAAGAAGAAGTGTATGAGTTGGCAATGTTCGGTTGGATGATAAGAGACATTTGTGGGCTTTCACAACTGCGAATAACTTCCTCTTTTAGTGACTGAGGAACTGCCAGTACCACGTAAGCAGTGGTCCCCACAACAAAGCATGAAGCGAAAGACTCCTCAGAACTCTCTTTTTTTTACCCTTCCATCTCAAACTTTCTTTTCCTTTTTCTCGCTTCCCAAACAGCCCTTCTTCTTACCCGCCCATTAAAGTTCGAGAAATCAAAACTATGGAATCGCAAGCCAAAGCTCAAACGGAACGGGCTAACCAGCAGAGTAAAGGAGCCATGAAGAAATCCTCTTCGAGAAACTCCGATTCCTCTGGTCAAATGGAGTCTCCTCACTCGCCTCTCCGGTTCCACTCGCCGCTCCGATCCGAGGCCGGCGATCCGCCCGACACTCCTCCGTATGAGTCGCCGGTTAACTCGCCGGAAAAGCAGCCGGATAACTCCAGGGCTATCGTCGCAGTTGAGAAGGCCAATCTCAACCACTACTCGTCCGATCACCACAAGAAACCGCACCAGAATGCGACGGCGCCGGCGAAGCCGCCTCTGCCGATGTACATCAACAGAGCGACAAAGGAGGAAGCGCCTCCGTCGGTCACGAAGGTCGGTCCCGTCGCCGGAGGCAGCGGAGGAGATGACGGTGGCGTTGGCCGGAGGTCGAATTTCGCGCCTTCGCCGGGGAGGAGGCCGAGGAAGGAGTTGTTGAAGAGTGCGGCGCTTGGGTTTCGTGTTAGTGAGTTCGTGCTCTGTTTGATTTCCTTCTCTGTCATGGCCGCAGATAAGACTCAGGGTTGGAGCGGCGATTCCTTTGATCGATACAAGGAGTACAGGTATCTCTCTCTCTCTCTCTCTCTCTCCCTCTGAATTTGAATCAGTTTGTGCCATTTTCGTCTGTGTTTGTTTGTGGAGGTTACAGAAATTCAAAACTCTACGTTTATATTTTCCCACAAAAAAAACGAAGTTCCTTTAGAAGTAATTACTTTGTAATTTGTATTACATTGATTGATTTGTTTGTGCTTCATTAGGATATAATGGAGACCTTCCGTTTTGTAGTCCTTTTCTTTGATTGGTACTGAGAGAGAGAGAGAGTTAATGCTTATAGTTATACTTACTCTGAATCTGACTTGCTGAAGGATTACTTTCCATTTTTCCTTTTTGGAGATTTTAATTTTTGAGATAGTTATACATATCTGTTGACTTTTAAACAGAATAGCCTTTGACTCATCAATAATTATATGGATGGCGGGTTAATGCAACATGGGTTGTTTTAATTTTGTGGAAAATATATATTTTTTTCTTTTGTGGATTTGTGTTTTAGCATATTTGCTTTTGTTTTGTACTTTGTCACTCTGTCCTTTGATTTTCTTGAGAACATGAATATGAAACTTGTTTTGTCTGCAGGTTTTGTCTGTCTGTGAATGTTATCGCGTTTGTATATTCGTTATTTCAAGCTTATGATCTAGCATTCCATCTTGTCACCGGAAAACATGTGATCCGCCACCACCTTCGTCGCCACTTTGAGTTTTTCATGGATCAGGCAAGCAATTTACATTAAACATGTATGCTACTTTAGTTTATCGTGACAATGTTAAGGTCTGGTGAACTGGATGATGTGTGGTCTTACTAAGCATGCCTTTTTGACTTTGTTCTAACATATGAATTAAAGTTAGTTGGAATATTATAGGACAGATTAAGAACGATTGGGATATCTGACAAGGGTATTTGCATAATAGATTGTTCTGTTTAGTAGAGTCTCTTATAACAATCAGTTGCAACGGATCCTAGTCTTCACTTGACAACTATAGGCTGCACTAGAAGGGTCGGTGTGGCTGAACAGAGGCAGAAACGCCCTTTTTTTTTTTTATTGATTTTCCTGATATTGGATTGGGTTCATGTAGGGATGAAGATTCGAACCCAACTTTATCTAGTGTGTGACTCTTTTGGCGTCCCTATCTTGGCGAATGTTTGACACCCGCTGGTTAAACTGTTGGTTGATTGCAAATGAATAGCTTAAATTAGTAGGGACCTCTATTTTGGGGGCTATCTATTTTGGTGGCGGTCTTGCCAATTTTAATATTTTTTGGACCTTGTAGACTTTCAAGTGTCAAGGTCTTCAAACGAATTCTAGGAACTGTCCATGGAAATATGATTCTGATTTACTGAATATGCTTAGGGACTAAGGTTGCATGTATTGAATTCAGGTCTTTGGGGACTTTGGATTGTGTACTGAACGGTTAATTCAATTGGCAGGTACTGGCATATCTTCTCATATCAGCATCATCATCGGCGGCCACCAGAGTAGATGACTGGCAATCAAACTGGGGGAAAGATGAGTTCACCGAGATGGCGAGTGCTTCGGTAGGGATGGCCTTCTTGGCATTTGCTGCCTTTGCCGTGAGCTCCCTTATATCGGGTTACAACCTTTGGAGTGAGAACACGATGTGAACTGAGATCGTGTAATCAGTTGCTCGCAGTTTTTCAGTCTTATCCGAAAATAATACAATAGAATGTGAAAGCAAATATATATATATTTCTTCCTTTTACTTGTTGTACAGATAAAGATTCAATAGCCTTGTTTTCTTCTTACAATTGGAAGGGAACATAATTTTAGGAATTATGTTTGAATTCTCTATGTTCTGTGTTTTTTAGACTGGATTCTGATGTACTTCAGTTCTGTTATGCAAATCTGCATAACTTTCAGGTTGAGTTATATAGGTGAGAACATAAACCTAAGACTTCTTGGTAATAATTCGGGATAACAGTATTTTGACCCTTTTTGAAGCGACTTCTTGGTAATAATTTAATAAAGAGCCGCAATTTTCTAAAATTAAAAAAATTGACCTATCAAATATATTTGTAACGTAGAATGACAAAATCACCCTTACATCTAGCCCTAGCAGCCACCACCTCGTTGAATCCCTCTCTGTCCCTCTGCACTTCTCTCTCTCTCTCTCTGGGTTTGCACAATTTCTTCTCCCTCTATGAATTGCTCTCTCCCTCTGCGTTTCTCTCTCTCTGGGTTTGCACGATTCTGTCTGTCTCTTTCTCTGCATTCTCTTTCTCATCACTTGGTAAATATTTTGAGTATTTTATCTTTGCGTTCTCTTTCTAGGGGTGTAAGAAATCCGACCCTACCCGACATAATCTGGCCTACCCTACCCGACCCTACCTGAATATTTAGTTTTTTTTTCCTTTTCCCGGCTTCAAATAAGGCTAGCCCGAAATTTGCGGGTAGGGTGGCGGGCCGGTCTCTTTTCAACCCACGGTAGGCCGACCCGGCCAAAAGCAAATCAAATTAGTTCCTCCGCCATTCCTCTTCTTCTCTTTGAGTGTTTCCTCCATCACCACATCTTCTTCTCAATTCCTCCACTCTGCCGTTCCTCTTCTACTTCTTCATCTCACTTCCTCCGTCGTAGCCAGAAATTTTCAGCTGCAATCATTCAGCCAAGGCCACACAGCTCAGGCCTGCCCAATCGTTCAGGCCCAAACCATGACTTCTGATGGTATGATAGTAAGATACCAACCAAGCCTGCCTAATCGTTCGGGCCCAAACCATGGCTTCTAATGGTATGATAGTAAGATACCAACTATGACTATAAATTTGGAGTTGGTTTACCCAAAGTAACCCGGCCAACCTGAGGTAACCTAATGGTGTACGGGTTCTGGGAGCAAGTGAGCTGTTGCGGCCCACAGTTTTCTTAGCCCGATTCTTGCGGGCCAGCCCAAATCCTACCAAAAAAACTGACCCTACCCAGCCCAATTTTACCCCTATCTCTTTCTCATTACTGGTAAGTATTTTGAGTATTTTATACCTAAAAATACAAAATAGTCCATAAGTCAATTATCGATGAATTGTGGCAATCAGTGATAGACCAAAAAAGTCATTTATATACTGAGACAATCAATGATAGACGAGTCAATCAGTGATATTGAAATCAATCAAATGATATAGATATATTGAGATCTATTATTGATAAACTGCAAACCATGAAAAAAATAATAAATAAAAGAACTCAAAACGCACTTTTCTTTTCTTTTCATGCCTCCTATTTTCTAAAATCTCCCCTCCTCTCTGCAACACCAAGTGACACTAGCGACTCTGACATCACCTCTCGTCGTTGAGCCGCGACACTATTGTGTCGGATCTCCAAGGCCAATATGAACTTCGCTGCTGAGGAGTCGTGAGCCGTCTTTGCGAAGGAGATCGCGACTGAGCTCCATCTTTGAGGAGTCGTGAGCCGTCTTTGCGAAGGAGATCGCGACTGAGCTCCATCTTTGCAACCTTCCTCCGGCATAGGTCACGTTTGATACCAGATAAAGCAAGTCTAGATTTTTGTTTCTCTTGTGATAGATTGGTTTAATATCACTCTTCATAATCTGGATGTGAATTAGTCGAATTATTTATCCCTCGGCCTTTTAGTGAATTATCTCTCTAAGGATTGTGAAAGATGTTCCACTAGAAATATTCTTGTCATTACTTCGACTCATTTACGTCATTAGTCCGATTCTTTGTTTTGTAGGAACTACCCGTAATCATGAACTTGCATATGTATTGCACGATGGGTGTGAAGTAGACCATTATCTCAACAATAAGGAGTTAGGCTAGTATTTGCAGTAACTCTATTGTACTGCAATTGGTGCATTGGTTTTTATAGCCTTAATGCTTTTTGCTGGTTGGTTCTATTATCATAAAACTGCTCCAAAATTGGCTTGGTTCCTCTACTTTCATGATTGTTTGTCCTCGCTAGAAAGAACGCAAAATAGTAGGAGGAAGAAGACATTTACGACACTGGACTGGGAAAAACCCTAATTTGATATAATCTGATAAAATTTGATCAAATAGACCATGATCTAGACTGACTTTTGTGAACTAACCTCAATCTTTTATGGGCTTAGGAAGTCAAATTTGATATGGGCTAGTAATTGATTGGGTTATATTTGGGAGGATGCTTGGAGTTGAACTTTCACCTGAAATAATTTTGGGCCTAATTGATCCAAGGCCAGCTAAGAAGTATAGTATGGAAAGCAGCAGTGAAGGCTAAGGCCTACCAACAAAAATAAAAGAAAGAAAGAAAAAGAAATTGACAATGGAACCAATTGTTCCAGGCTTTAAAATATTTGTTGGCCAATGTTGCTGATGCAAAAATTCTAAAAGGCTCTACAATTAAGTGACCATTAATTAAAGCTTTATTGACCTTATACTGTGTCTTCTTCTCAATAATGACCACAAAAGCTCCATAAAAGCTTATTATCTGAAAGGTTAGCTACAATTGAAATACAAGGAAAAACCAAAACCCAAGTTTTATCCATACAAAGTTTGGAACATAATTTTTCAACGTGGTTGGTGGAATCGAACATTACTTTTGAACTATATTGTTTTTTTCCTTTAATAATGTTGGAAAATAAAGCACAAAGGTTGTTGGTGAAAGCAATGCACTATTAGTGAATCATGGAAGTTTTCTACCATTCTAATATGACATACTATTCATGCAGCTAGTTTTGGTTTGTTTGTCTTATAAATTATTGCGACAAAATCATCTATGGTAGCAAAACATCTTGTTAGTATTCTATGTTTTTAATAATATTAAAACGGTACTTTTACATTTAAAGAAATATTTTTTCCATATCCTGAAACTGATTTTTAGGACATGAAATGATCATTATGCCGTTCTCACTAATAATAAGAAATTAATAACTTTTTTAAAAATAATCTAAAACATGCTTCAAAATATTTAAAAATTAAAAAAATCAAATAAGTTAAAATGTTCTCTGAAAATATTTTTAAAGTTATTAGTTTCTATTTAATTAATGAAAATAGCAGCTTGGACATTATATGTTTTAAAATTTTGTTTTAAGGTGTTTCTTTTAAAAGTGAAGGTACCGTTTAATATTATTAAAAACAGAATGTACCATCGAGATGTTTCACAATAACAAACGGTATCAAAATGATGTTGTCCCTAAATTATTAAATAGTACAAGTTCATGGTAAACTCTCAACGTCAAATATGTATTGAACTTTAAAACATCTTTTTCATCAGATGTTGATTTGTCCTAACCAACGACCAATATTATTACAACACACCGTTTGGTGGTTCCTACGGGGAGGTGCTTTGTAGGGGTACATACTTCTACACCGGCCAATCCACATGCTCATATCTTTCACATAGATCACAGATGCTTATCCGAACCCAACCCATATCCAATTATTTGGTGCTGATCAATCTCTTTTCCAAGTATAATCCATTTCAAACCCTAAAAAAATATACTCTTAAATAGTTGCTTATGCATGGTCAACATGGTTGTTGAAGTGGATTCTCTCGACACCTAGTTTCGATCGTACTTATGACGTTCTTTGGTGTGGATCACCAGGAGGGCGTCAGATTGGGACCAGTAAAAAGGAACTTCGACGCTTAAATCGGAAAGAATAGCAAAGCATACGTAACTTAAAAGTGGGTGAGAATGATTGAAATAGTAATTTCTACTTCTCATATCTATACGAAATTTAGCTAATTGGAGGAGAAATTATAATTAGAAATATATTCTGAATTTGATAAAGGAATTTTTCTAAAGTTTCTGGTAAAACATTTACACATGTCGTCATCTTGATCCCCTACAGTCTAAGGTGCAAATCTCGATGTCTAATATAGGGGTCAATGTCTACATTGTTCTCAATCCCGGTCTTTATATTCAACCCTGAGCAAGGTGTGCCTCGATGTACATACATGTTAGTGTTATATTGACGGATACCTCGATCCCTAATCTTGTCACATGATTAGTTGACGTTTAAAGCGGTACATGAATTGGGTTTAGAACGCCATGAGACAGTTCGGTCCATATTCAGTGTGGACGTTAAAGCATTGAGATGACCTTTTTTTAGTATGAGAGGATTAAGAAAGACGCACATTAGGTGTAACAGTTATCGTGTTTGACCCATCAAAGTCCACATGAGCATTCGATCTGGTTAAAATCTTGATTTTCCGCTATTTTATAGACACGCATGTCACGTGATCATCCCTGAACGAAAATCTCCCTATACCCTTTAATTCTCTCTTCAAATAGTGTTCCAGGTTAAAGAATATTAGTATATTCTCGTTCAAACAAGGATATAACTATTTCTATTTTGAGAAAAAAAAAGATATAACTATTTCTTGTGTTCTTTTTTACCACAAAACGAAAAAAAAGGAGAAACAAGATATTGCAGACCATATACACCCATGTATAATGTATATATTTGAAACTTGGGGGGGGGGGGGGGGGGGGAGGCGGA